GCCCGAAGCTATTTCATTGCAGTCAATGAACGTATACTTTAAGAGATAGTTTTTGCCACTGATAGGCTAAGATTGCTATTGCTTCTGACAACAGTATGGAAAGGAGTTTACTAGGAGTCCACTTTTAGAGAAATGACGTTGCAGAATTGCCCGAAGGATCAAATGGCAGCAAGTTAAGTGGCTACAAAGCTCTTGCTCAATACTGGATTAAAACAATTGTTGTCACCATTAGTAAGGCACCATCAGCATGCTATATACAGGGTTCCCGCGGGGTCTTAAAAAGTCTTAAAAAGTCTTAAATTTGATAATCTGAATTTAAGGCCTTAAAAAGGTCTTAAATATGACCAAAAAAATAAGAAAGGTCTTAAATATGATTTAGAAGGTCTTAAAAATGATGGGATTTGAAAGGTACTTCTGTGTTGCGATCGCGTCTAAAATGTGTTTTGGGGGAAATGTCCGGGCTGCAAAGTAACCAGTACGGTAAGAGCCTTTCAGTTCCCCCCAACAATTTGTATTGAAATAAATCAACATGGAATCAATAATCACTAACTTTGTTTCCCCCGGCCCCTTAACGGAGAACACCCAGCTAGTAACCTAGCAACCAAGCTTCAGCTAGCGGCAGTCAGAAACTCATGTCTCTTCGAATCTACTTACAAATAAATATGGGGAAGTGTAAGTTCAACCGTATTTCGTTGGAAAACATCGAATTTAGTGCTTGGTTGAAACCAGTGGAGGGGAACGGGTTTGAAGCCCGCTGCACCTTTTGCAAAAGAAATTAGCGTTTGTTTTGCTAATGTAGCGTTAGCTAGTGCAGCGTTAGCTAGTGCAGCAGCTCCCGCAACAACACCGTTGGACCTCCGGGCGACGTTTGGGTCTACGTCAACCCTAAAAGCGGAGGTGCTGTAGACGCTAAATACCGTAGCTCAACACCAATCATACAACAGCAACGATGAAAGATTGTAGCCAAGGCAGCAGAGCTCTGAATATAGCTCTTGTTTCTCTCTCTCTCTCTCTCTCTCTCTCTCTCTCTCACACACACACTAGGGCTGCTCGATTATGGCAAAAATCATAATCACGATTATTTTGGTCAATAATTGATATCACGATTATTAAATAAGATTATTCATTGACTTTGAAAACATCCATTTATTGAACTTTAAAACAAATAATAATTTGAACAGTGTCTTTTTAACTGTTGATTACCCTGAACGTATAATTCAACTGAAAAACCAATACAAAAATAAATTAAATAAATGATATATTTAAATAAATAATATCAAAATAATAAATACCAATAAACAAGATCAACAAATATTTTGGAGCGCACTTCCACAAGCTACTAAACATATATAAATATGATAAATAAAAATAAATTAGACTAAAATTAATTAGATCAAATATGTTGTAGTGCACTGTCACAACCGTGCAAAGCTAAATAATAGTTTTTTTCGATTATGTTGTTTTTGTAATTGTGGCAGGCCAAAATCGTAATTGCGATTAAAATACGATTAATTGCACAGCCCTAACACGCACACACAGAGACACATACACACTTTTTGGCTAACACAGTTCTGTACTGTTATGCTGTTATGTTCAGTCATTGTTCTTATGTTGAACATGAATACATTTGATTTGTAAGTAATTATGGGACGTATTTCTTCTTTCATAGCAATTTTCCTTCATACTTTCTTGCCGTGAAATAGGTCTTAAATTCTATTCGAAGTGGTCTTAAAAAGGTCTTAAAAAGTCTTAAATTTGAGTTGGCGAAACCTGCAGGAACCCTGTATATAATACAACCCCATAAAGGCTTAGGGGTTTTACCTGACCTTTTAAATCCAAGAAAATTAATGCTAGATCATTTTACTCACCCCTTTTAAACCAACTATATCTTTTATCCAAATATGTTGATTTTATTAGTTGGACCTCAATATGGGTCAAATCCTTGGGGTGACTGACGGTGTGCACGTCTGAGAGCCATCTGTCCAACAGAGCATCGGGCTCACTGGGCAGGCAATGGCCAGGCTGGGTGTGTTATTACAGTCCAGCTGGGATAACAGAGCTTGAATCAACCGAATACCAAAGTGGATGAATGAAAAAAACTTTATCTGGGGTCATGCTTCAGTTGGAGAAGAGCTGAGATATTAAGACTGACTCATCTCATGTGATAGAAGACTGCGTGGCACAGCAGAAATCCGCTATAACAGAAACTGCTGATGCAAAGGAAGACGTTCAAGACACAACAGATATCCATACAGTCCATCATTCAAATATGTCTGATTTACAGTAGGTTAGTATTACTAAGTATCAGAACAATACTGTGTTTAGCGACTATCATGTGTGTTCTGCAGCTTCCAAAGTTACCATGGCGATGATGGGTGATCAGTGAAGCAGAGACTTTCTCATTGACTTTGCATTCAAAAGTATCTTTGACATTTCTGCCTCCTATTCAAAGATTAAAGCTCCTAACGGAAATATTTCTGACTTTGAGCATCTGGGATGACAGATGTACTATTTGCATGATTATATGTGCAATATTTGAAAACCTGACTAATCAGAAAACATCAATCATGACTCAGCATATGCTTGTATTCTTATATATATACTTTATTTTATACAGCTAGATGAATGTATACATAGTATACAATACAAAAGACAACTGATAGCATTATCTGTACATGAAAAAAACACAGCAACTGTACAATGGCACCTTTCAGACGGTATAATTGGTTCTTTAAAACAAATAACACTGGAATTTAGGAATGAAATTGAATTTCTGTTGAAGGATGTCGTGTGTCCATCAGTTTAAAGTACCATCTTAAAAAACAATGTTATCTATTTTTCTGGGATGTTATATTTTAAGGATTTTGAAACAGGAAGTGCTGAATTTTCCATTCTTACAGATGATACAATTCAGTTTCATTATTAAACTTTGTAAACATGTAAAAGTCCAGACAGATGCCCTTGCACTTTAAGTCTTATGCTGCGTTCACACCGGACGCGATGCGATGTTTGGGGGCGGCGCGATTACATGTAAAGTCAATGCAGAGACGCGGACAGACGCGAATTCGCTCCGACGGTGCGCATGAAGCGGTGGACGCGGCGCGAATCACGCGATTGAGGCGATTGAACGGTGCCGCGTTAAACGCGAGAGTTCAATTTTTTCAACTCGAGCGTCAAATTCACGTGACGCGTTCTCGCGGAAGCCAATCAGCGGTGAGGATCTCAGCCTGCCGTCACTGACGTTCAACCACACAACATCAGCCGTTAGCTGTTAGCAGTTAGCACACAGAGCTCACAGCTCCTCATATCTGTTCAGAAACTGGACAAAAGTTAAACAAGTACAAACCACAGACTGTCTGTGCCATGGCGAATACAGTCTCTGGTTTATTTATGTCTGTAGGCCGTTGTTATGAGTGTGGAATGAGCATATACAACGTTAGCTTAGCCTGGTCGACCCGATCTTCATTCATAAAACAAGCATTTTAAAAGATTTTTCGCCTGCCGTCTTGTCTGCAGACTTGTCAAAGCATTAATTCATGGTTTTACTAACCGGTATCAGTATGTTGTTACTTCGGCATCATTTAGAAACGTGTATTACAATTTAATCACGGTAAAATATGTTCATTTTGTTGTAGTTGTAGCTCCCGAGCCAGCGCGTCTTGTTTGAATGATGCGAGTAAACACAGCTGGCAGCCGCGGTGAAACTCGAGCGTTTAGAGCGATGCGATAGGAGCGATTAGAGCGAATATTCGCATCGCGTCCGGTGTGAACGCAGCATTAGGGTGTGACGCCCAACTTTACTTTCATTGAATATAAGGGTGGGTGGTCCATTTAACTTTACCATAGATATGTATTATCAACCTTTTTCTGAAAAAAGGGCTTTATATTGATAGTCTGGCATGATGCAATATGTCTGTTCATTAAGGGCTGAAGGTGATAAAGCAGCTACTGTATGTACCCGAAGGGCTGAAGCCTATAGAGGTCGAAGAAATGCCAAAAGCCAACACGTATCCATCACAACATATATTGAACTTTTTGCAAAATATAAGGTCTTCTAAAATGAAAAAATAAAATAGAGCTTTGAGGAGGGTAACCTTGCGTTTTTAGTCAAAATGTAATTTACGAATTAACCCTTATTCTATATTAGTATTAGTATTATTGTAAGGAATATACCTTCTGAATATATAGATATTCAGTAGAGAAGTGATCAATTCTGCAGAAGTTTTAATAATCTATATTGATCTTTACTATCTTCAAAACTGACAACAACCTATTTTTTAGAAGGGGCAAACTGCAAACCACTATGGTTTGGTCTATAACATATCGAATGTTAAATAATATTGCGCTGTATCCTTTATGTAATGGGCAGACAGTGGGTTTTCAATGCTATTGAAGAGTAAAGAGCACACTAGCATTGGTCTGGTCCATTAACAGTATCATTTACAGGTAAGTTTACATGCTGTTTAATATGCTGCCTTATTTGATTGTTACGTTACAACTCTTTGGCCAAATAGAATAAAAACAGCTATGCTCTAGTCAGTTTGGTTTTGCACAAATTGTCACAGACACATTGCACCACTCTAACAGCGTACATTCAATAATAAGAATAGCTAACATCTTGACAAATCTTCGTCTTTAAAAAAATATTCTAAGTTTTTTGGTAACAAGTACAGTCCAGGAATGCTTTGATATTGATTAAAACTATAAAGATTGTATCAAGTACGTAGGGTATATTGTTGACTGTTTTCATTTTGTAAGGTTTGTAAAGCTATGGTCTGACTCAAACAGGCAGTGATTGGCTACTGACTTTGATTATTCACATCGGACAGTCAAACAGTCAATAGTACTGAATCAAGAAATAACTGCATGGAATACAGTTCTTTAATGTTGCGTGAATCATACAGTACCGTGTTTCACATTTTCATTAGTTTTTCAGTGAAATTAGAAAACTCCCAGGTGAGATATCTGCTTTTGATAAATGCACAGTGTGAGTGCTGAAGTTATATCTCACTGTATCTGTTTGTCCTGGACTTTTTTTTGCCCTTTTTTCAATTTCATCCCATGCAGGTAGCTTTACCAAGAAAGTATGTTTATGGGCAGATGTGTGTGATCACTGTCTCTATATCTTTCTCATTTGTTTCTGTCAGTATATGCTCAGGCATTGTGTCATTGTTCCTAGTCGAGGTAGACTAACCACAGGTCAAACCTGATGTGGATGGTTTGACAGTTCAAAAGAAGACTTTCCTTCTTTTCTGTTCTCTAGGCAGATGTCTGTCTTTTCAAACAATGAATGGAGATCCTGTCTTTCTCCATTGTGTTTCTTTGCTCTAACAGACACCACTTGAAACACTGTCAGGCTGCATCTGAGAGTACTTCCACCCAACCCAGTAATAGGGTCATTAAAATGCTCATTTGGTCTCAGGTTCATGTAAAATTGTCACTTTTGTGACACTTACTGAAGCAAATAGGTCCTTGGGCTGTGCCTGTTCTGCTTTAACATGGCTTCAGATTGCAGAGGTCCAGTTCCTGAGGCTTCCTCCTTCCAGAGCAGTGGTCTCTTGGCAGATTCAAACCGTTCTCAGTCATACAGCGCACCGGCCGCCTTTTAAAGCCCCTTCCACAGGATTTGGAGCAGTGAGACCAGACCCCTACATCCCACATAGGACATGGATCCCCACATGATCTCAATGCTACAGGTCTGTCAGCACTGTCACAGTCCACTGCTGGACGCCCCTCTATGCTCTGACACTCCACAAGCCTCTTCTGCAGCCCATTCCCACAAGTCACTGTGCACGAATCCCAACTTCCTGTTACCCAATGACTGACGGGCCTCTTTCCCATCATCAGCTTCTTAGCCTCTACCCGATTACTGTCTGCCAAGACACTATTATGCGCTTTGTGGCTTTTGTCCTCTTTCCGCAGAGTCTTCTCCTCCTTGCTCTCCTTGGAGATGTAGAAGGAGTAGCGCACCCTGGGAGGAGTCATCTTCCCTACAGAGAGAATCTCCACAGTCAGAGGCTCCTGCAGGGGTCTGGTGGCCTGAAGGATCTCTACAGAGGTGGAGGTGCCGCTGTAGCGCAGTAAGCTGCCCTTCACCAGCAAGTCTCGTTCAACGGCTGAGACCACGTAGTTGCCGTTCAGCAGGTACTTGCCGTGCCGATTCTTCACCGCTAAGTAGTTTTCGTCGCTGACCATTCCTCTGTAGCCACGCTGACGGATGTCAATGTTTGAAGCTCCAATGGGCAGCATCAGCACAAAGTTGTAGCCATGTCTGAAATAGATGTAAATGTAACAGTTTTTCATGTATTCTTAAACATCAGAAGATAGAGACAGAGTAGAAAACAGTGTGTTAGCATACATTGCTATCTGATTGTGTTTTTCTTTTAAATTTGTATAATTACCATTAACCATGATACTATGGTCAAGTGAACTGTTATCGCCGGTGTTATGCCGTGTTATTATGCATGCCCACTGCACCTCGCGGGAGCGCACACAGCGTAAAGCAAATACTCACAGACATTTCAATGATTTGTACGGCAAAGTTAGGTTTGGAAACAATATAATTTCCTTTTTGGCGGGCATGCATAACACCGGAGCCTCGCTGCGGGGAAACTTTGCCGCTGTTCTGAGTTTGTTCTAATCTGTCAAAATGACGGACTGCTTTCAGATTTTTCCGTCATTGTTAAAAGAAATCCGTCACAGACGGAAGAAATTCGGTTAACGCGACCACTGCACCAGTATTACTCCAACAAAATTGTTAAATATGTTAATACCTTTGTGCTTAAACTGTATCACTTAGTCTAGTTAAGTTGCCTTCACATGACCAGCGGTGAAACGGCTCTGCGCTGATGTTGTCGTTCTCTCCTATGGAAAGAGCAATGCCTTCTGCGCTTCCCTCTGCGTTGCACATTGCTCTAAATTGTTGAAAAGCACTCCACTAAAGCTCAAATGATTTAAACTTTGACCTTGTATACGGCTGACCTTTTGACTTTCAACCAATGAGCTGTCAGCTTTATGAAGCGGCGCAAGCTAGCAGGGGAGGTAACGATAGAATCAAAACTTAACTAGCTGTTTTCTCTGCAAAGCACTGCACCCGCTGTGAGCAGAGAGCAAATTGCGTATCATGTGAAAGGCAGCTTAACGCAATCGAAAAACATTCACGGCTGAATTGCAGGTGGTTGTTGGAAACAACATATAAGCTGAAACATTTTCTATATGATAGTCTCCACTTAAAAAAAATATACTTGCCCTTTTACCAAGAGTCAAAAAGGAACATGACAGCCACCTTTTCCTTTGAGGTATTCAAATGTTCAAGGTAACTTGTTCAACCACAATGTTTTGTATTTGTAAATGTGTAAAATACGTAGAGGAAATTTTGAATGAACTAAAAGGCTTAGGCAGGCTAAAATATCTCAGTTATCACCTCCTTTCTGTAGATCCGATTTAGCAAAGACCTATTTCCAGCTATTCTATATGCCCCAAAATCTAAAGTTGACATCAATGTTGACCTCAACCTGTCCCGTCACTTCAACACTTAGAGGTAATACAGTATCTGCTGATGTGCGACTTACATAGGTTTGGTGAACATTCCTGAGACCTTCTTGCAGCCCTGGTTGTCGCCACCACACACCCCACACTTGTCAAACTTCCTGTTGGAGTCCAGCTTGCTATCGCAGCCTGCCTTGATGCATTTTCCTTGAACACATACAGCTGAGGTGTCAGGAGAGCAGGGGGTCCCATCCACAACCTGCAAGGATGAAGACATTGTATTATGACAATCTTAAGATGCATAATAAAATGAAAGGCAAGAGTTTGTTGCCACATGTGGTCTTCCATATTTACATTGTTAAATGTTCTGAGTAAACAAACATAATGAACTGAAAAGCTTGATAAAGGTCAGATGTAGAACCAGAGGAAGTGCACAGTATTCTTAAGTGGAAAAGAGATGTTGGCTTGTATTACTGCTACAAGCTTGTTTCCTTTTGGCTGAGTAAATAGTAGCTGACAAGCCCCAGCTGTGAAGTGATACTGTCCCTGCATGTTTCCTTTCCCACCACACCATCCATCCAGCAGCAGCAGCCGCTCTCTCTACTGCCACCAACAAATGACCTGTCATTGCTTTGCTGTGGAAAGAACTAGCAGTCACTTCTTTCATTCCAAATAAGGGCCAAAAGATACAGGGAAATTACACGCCAAACCATTGTGAACAGTGGGCAGCTATATATTTCAAATACAAGGAGTACAGATTGCATCAGCAAGTAAAGTAGTTGATTCCCATTTAGATCAGAATATTGAAACAATTTACTACAGTCACGTCCAAGCTTTTAGACAGATATATGTACCATCTAGTGGCTACAACAGCTTGAATCTTGCAATTATCATTCTCCGATCAGCATTCTGTCAAAGTAGTCAATATTTAATTTGGCTAGAATTTGTTTCTCTACTTTATTAACACAGCATACCCACTGGGTTGTCACATGATTGGTTGTCATGTTATTGTAATCCTGGTTGTTCATGTTTTTGTAATACATTTCATTTGTTTAATGATTAGAAAAGTGAACAGTTCATTTAAACAGGTGTTTGTAAGTTACATACCTTTGGAGCAAGGACATAGAAGTACCCAGTACCGTTGGCGCGGCAAATAAGTTTGCATTTGTCCTTAGGAGAGATGCCTGAATATTTAGGGACCCAAACCGCAGACGGACCCAGTCTGTTGGTGTTCAGGTTTATTCCATTGAATGCCTCACACTGCTCCTCACGGAAACTCTTACCTAGAGATAGAAACAACGTCAGGTTAAATAGAGATCTACTCCAAAATGGTTGACCTTACAGACTGTGACTGGAGTTTTGAAATTGAACATTCACCAAGAGCGGCATAGTTGCTACTCATATAAATGATGCGCGCACAGCACATGCATTTCACTTATGATTATGGTGGCAGATTTCCGGCTTCAACTTCCAAGTAATTTTCAAAACTATGGGTCCATGATTCTTTTAGACAGTGATAGACAACAGAAACTTCTACTTTCCTGACAGTTTGTATCTAGCTGTAGCTAGCAGGCTAATTAAGCTAACATTAACTTCAAGGGAGCTTAAATACACACTTGCTGTCTCCTTAGCGTACATACTTGAATACATTTTAAAAGAGTATGTTTAACTTTTAACCTCACAAGAGAATAGTATTTCAGGATGAAAACTATCCAATGTCTTATATGTCAAATAACTTTAGCTGGGGTTTTTTGGAATGTTGATTTTCCCAAACCAGTAAAGAGCAGGAAACAGCTGCTAATATGCTACTCTCCAACATGGTGGGGAGGCTACACAGTGGATGTGCCAGTAATGAAATGAGGCTTTTCTTCACTGTAACTCCTACATCTTACTATTGGGCTTAAATGAATGCTTGGTTATGTTTCTACCATATTGGGAAGCTAATTAGCTACACCAAATTAAAACACTGTTCGATCCATTCCTTCCAATTTTGCTCAGTTGCTTTGGGTTGCTTCAACTGTTTCAGCATTCAGAAAAAGCTAAACAAACTCGGAACAGCAGCAAAGTTTCCCCGCAGCGAGGCTCCCGTGTTATGCATGCCCGCCAAAAAGGAAATGATACCGTTTCCAAACCAAACTTTGCCGTACAAATCATTGAAATGTCTGGGAGTTTTTGCTTTACGCTGTGCGCGCTCCTGCGAGGTGCAGTGGGCATGCATAACACGGCGCTAACAGTTCACGAGCGTGCGTCCTCTCGTTGACAGCTCACAAGCGTGCTCTTCCCCCCCCCTCGTCAGAGTTGTGTAAAGGCCGACGGGTAATAGTGGATTTTGACGGAAAAATGTCCGTCAAAATGACGGGCAGCGAAAAAGTCTAGCGCAACCTCTGGTAGTTACATAAGCTAAAGTAACTGTAACTGTAAAGTAACTGGACAGTTTTTGGGACATCTTTAGTAAATGGTCAATAACAGCCATTATTGTGTGTCTTTGTTTGTGAACATACTGGAACAGCGAGTAGCGTACCTGTTTCAGGGCAAGGGTTGAGGTTACATGAGCGATATTTGATGCGAAGGCCATAGCAGTATTTGCCTCCATTCTCAGGAATGGGGTTGTCACACGCTCTCTTGGCCAGCTGAACTCCTCCACCACAACTTCGAGAACAGTCCCCAAATAGTCCCCACTTCCCCCACCGACCATCCACCTGAGACAAAGGAAAAACAGACACAATGGTACATCAATCTGTACTGAAAAAAAGGAAGTTTGACAGTGCTGTTTCTGCATTCTCTTACCTTGATGTGCATGGTGGTGTTCTTATCAGTGCAGGTTCCTCTGAAGCATATTTTACCGTTACCACAGCTGGTGCCGTCCGCCCAGGGGAAGTGTCGGGTTTGGCAGACCAGCTGGCCGCGGGCCCTTCCGGTGCACCACAGCTTGGAGCAGGGTTGCATGTATGGGCAGGGCTTGGAGCCGGAGCCGAAGGCAAGCTCACATTGACGATGCAGGCTGTAGCTGGACCCAGGCAGGTTGTCGGTAAGAGACAGCTGCCTCTGAGGCTGGTCCAGCAGACATTCTCCTGCAGAAAGACCAACAACATTGCAAAAAATCAGTCGCAATTACTCACAAGTTGCACTTATTGATATGGTAATATTTACTATAAGGGAAATGGGTACTTGGGGGTAATATGAGAGGTGTTGCTTTTGGAACCCAGAAAGAATTGTCACCAACTCTCCGGAACGTTTGTGCATCTTAAAACGCTTTCCCCCCCCTCTATTCCTGTCTTTCAGTCTCAGAACTCAAACAACAATGTTTCCAAGAGCAGCAGGCAGCTGTTTTCAGTGCAATAAACCCATTTAATTCTACCTGTCCGGCACCAAACAACACACCGACACAGTTATTGACCAGCTGATGGGAAAGTCCTTGCTACTTCCTTCAGGAGTTCATGGAGACCAAAAACATTGGGTAGTCAAGAGTGAATATTGAACTTTTTCTTGTGTATAGGCAACTCATAGATAATGTGGTTATATGCTCATACTTTGTTTACAGCTTGTTACACAGCACCCATATGGCCAATAAATCAATAACTATAGCTTAAAGGACAAAATTAAAAACCTAAATCCTTTCTTTAACAGCATTTGTTTTTGCTAAATTCTTAGCTAACCAAAATGTCTTGCAGTTATACTCTCTTTGTTAGGGAAGTAACAATTACCTACAATTAATTGTTTGGATTGTTTGGTTGATCTAAGTTAATGTAAGGAAATACCAAAGAAAACAAATAATAATAATATGACTATTAAACTAGATAACATTAAAATAATGATAATGAAAATAGTTGCTACAATATATTTGTCTTCAGTCTTTCAAAAGCAGACTCTTAGCCGTCTTTGAGACAGCACAGGCTCCATATTATATTTAGATAAAGCAAATTAATCATGTAAAAAAGGACTGTTAGCAATGTAGTGTTTAATTTAGTAAATGCACATTTGCTTGTTACAATAAGTAGGCTGGTTGAGGGGAAGTAATAATGTGGTGGCTATTACACAGAATCCACTCACAGTCACTTACGGGAGTTTACACACGGACAGAAAAAGACTTGGCACATAAGGGCTACTGCGGAGAAAGAAACCGGAATGATATATTCATTCACTTATGAATGTTACATTTTTATTTGGATACTGGAAGTGGATACTGTCATCATAATACGAAATAACAACGCAAGGAAAATACTTTCTTAGATGTTCTTAAGTGATTTATATTGCACTTCTTTTACATTTTACATTTCTGCATTTCTTGTGGATGCAGTCTTCTGAGTCAAATGGGAATCTGATATGTTCTAGGATCTTTCGTTTTTCTCTTAAAAAGCTTTATATAAATGTATAGGCTCTGATCAGCATATAACATACGTCAGTTTGCACTTCAGGACTGGGTGCTGCATCACTTCGAGTTTGTTGTTAAAACAAAATAGTCAAGTTTAGAGAATTATGATCCTATGTATGCCAATACTATTTCACATAGTGATTTGACAAATTGTTGTTTATATGTATATAAGAACAACTTCAAGAAATCTGCTTTTTTAATTACATGGGCCTTTTTATGCTTTTGAGGTTTTCCCTTTCCTGTAGTGTGTTATATACAGGGGTGCACATAACTTTCTTAGTGAGTTACTCAAATGAGTACCAGGAGACGATGTTTGGTACGCAAGGTTATGTGTTCAGCCCCTCTGTTTCGCGAACGTCGGCTGGGGGGGTGTGGCTGGGGGGGTGTGGCTGGGGGTGTGGTATTGAACGTCGACGGGAGGGGTGTGGCTGGGGGTGTGGTATTGAACGTCGACGGGAGGGGTGGAGGTGGGCGCTAGTGGAGCACTCGCGTGGAACTCGCGCCAGAAGTTGTGGCACAATTCCGTTGTACACACCGACGTTAACAGCAGCCCCGTCTGTGCGCACGGCGATTGACTCTATCGTCCAGTGATCGAAGCGCCTTCTGGAAATGCTTCTCAAAACGCAAATGCGCTTAGTGAGACAAGTGACGGTACGCATTTCAGATGTTTGCCGCGCATGCGTACCTGCGTACCAGTTATGTGCACCCCTGGTTATATAGTAGATTTGTGTGCATGTAAATGGTTTGCAAAGACTAAAATCTTAAAGTTCCCTCTTGAAAATTAGCATTAAATGTCGTCTTTAGGTAAGTTATTTGATGGACTCCCTTATCAACATAGATACAAAGTAAGACTTTGTAATACTAAGCTTATGCAGTTTTATTCTCTTGATATTGGATTTATGTGTGTTATTTATTGTGTTTAAAAGTGTTGAAGTACAGTAGGTTGACCCTAGGCTGAGTAGTTTGACTTTTCTATTCCAAGACCCCATTTTTGAAGGATAAGGATAAAAAAGTAACTCAAATATAAACCTTCGCCTCGTCCAAGAAACATCTAATACAACCAGAAATATACTGTATATTAACAAAAGTATCAGGGTTAAACATAAAATAGTTTTATATGATCACTTGATCACTTACAAGTAAAAACTGAAATTAAAAATGTAACCATGAGAAACCAAAGCCAAGGTCTGTTTTTGCGGGTACAATTATATTAGAACCAGCTGAGCACATGAAGCCTGGACAGAATTAGTGGTCCATCTGAGTCCAGAGACATATACAGGAAGTGTTTACTAACCATGACCTCTGTCCAGGAACTCAGTAATGATGGCTGCGCTGCACACAGACCAGGGCCTGCTCCTGTCGATCTGAATCAGTGTGGGAGACATCATGTGGTTGTCCTTTAGTTTCCCAAATACCTCCTCACATACCTTCACATTGTCGTGGGGCATGTTGAAGACGTGGCCTGAGGGATAAGAGAAGAGAGACAGAAGATTACCTCTTTGTTAGAGTCAGGAACCTCTACTGTTAGTTGTCCCATGATTTGAAACACAGTTAGCCTTAAGGAAAAGTCACTGGGAAGATACTTCTGAGGGGATTTACCCAAAGAGAAACTTTTTACCAGACATCACAACACACATGTTTATATGGCTAAGCAAGCTCAACTTGGACTGATTTGAAGCTGATGTCATCGCACAGAGGAATGCAGTTATGCATGGGAATATACAGCATGGCGTTCGTCCATGTTCTAGACCAGGCCTGACAGGGGAATTTAGTTCCCAAGGAAATCATTTCACTCCCTAAATACGAACATGTATTACTTTCCAAAAATGAAAAAAAAATACATAAACTGTGTTTCGGGGTATTCAATCATGAGACAGGACCATGTTGGGAGGAAATTGTGTGATTAACATACATAAGGGCAGTGTAAACCAATGCCTCTATTGGGGGCTCAAGAGTTACTTGTGCATCTGGTTTCAGGCAAGAGTCTTACTTATTTTACAGCCCAAAACACTGATATTTAAAATGTGAAAAAAGTCACATGTATTATTAATAGGATCAGCCTTAACTAGACAGTGTTAGTGTGTCAAACGACAGTGCATAAAGTTAAGTACTACACATTAGATTTCATTGGAAAGCATGATTGGCAGTGTTCAACTTCACCTCCATTTATTTTCACCTTTGACAGGCATGTAACTTAAATCTGCAATTTGTTTTTTTTGGGGGGGAATAAAACCACATCCATTAAATCAGCCTAAATTCCAGATGAAAAGAGAAAAAATGCATCCCTGTGGATTTGTCCCAATTTGTCCAAATTTCCCACACAGACAACACACGCAGGGAGTAATAAATCCAACTTCCACCTCCAGTTTAAAGTCAGAAATCTGGGAAACAAGAGCATGATCACTTACTATGATGACTGATGTAATGCCAATCAATATGTTGGTCTTACCTAGCTATTTGGCAAGGATATAATAGACTGTAATTTGTCATTTAAAATAATAATTCATAATTTAAAAAGTACTCTACTTGGATTGCTCCCTTAAAGTGAAAAGAGAGAATTGACATCAATCTGTTGGAGCTAGTATGTGGTTAGCCTAGCTTAGCGCTCATTTTGGTATAGTCTCTGACTTTAGCTACAACATGTAGCTGTTTTTTGAGGTTGAGCAAAAAAGATGTGTGAATAAGTGAGCTTTGGAGGTGTTTTTCAAATACATTTTTTATCTGAGCAGATCTTCTGTCTTTCCTCGGTGCTCGTCCTTAATGCCAAGCTAGGCTAACCATGCACTGACTCCTGTACTTACAACCCAGTCTCACGGTATTTCGTGTTATAGTCACAACATTTAATCTATTGATTCGTGTTCACCAACACGATTTTCCCCTTTTTTTCGTGTCACACAGAACGATTTTAAAAGCAATGTATTTCTATTGGTAGTATGTTTCGTGCCTGCAACACGTTTTTTTGTCCGGTCGGGTCTTGGAAGACCAGAAGCTGTGTGGTTCATAAAAACATGTTCTTACTCAATATCAAGCCACGATTATTGTTTTTTATTTTAAATCGTATAATGTCTGACTTTTTTTGCCGTCTGTGAGGAAAAGAAATGGGGCTCAGAGCCTCAGAATACTGATATCTGTATTTTTAAAATATTTTATTCCTTCTAATTTGTTATTCTTTTCTAAATAACACACTGTTATTTACTCAACAATAACACACAATTATCCTTGTTTTTATTTCTTTGTTTAATTCTATAATATCTGGCTTTTTTGCCGAACTGAATTTCAAAATAAAGTCACCGGAAACAGACGTAGGCGATACACACCCACTGAACTGATTACCCGAGATCCTCAGCTATGGTTGAAGCTCGGTGATTGGATGTTTTAGCCACAATGAACGTTGGGATATGGTGTTAATGCGATATGAAATAACTCTCAACAGAATTGCGTTGCCAGGCAACAGCTTGGGATGAAAACAGTATTTCCGGTATCGCCTACGTCTGTTTCCAGTGACTTTATTTTGAAATTCAGTTCCTGACGGATGGCAAAAAAGCCCGATATTATAGAATTAAACAAATAAATAAAAACAAGGATAATTGTGTGTTATTGTTGAGTAAATAACAGTGTGTTATTTAGAAAATAATAACAAATTAGAAGGAAAAAAAGATTTAAAAAATACAGATTTCAGTATTCTGAGGCTCTGAGCCCCATTTCTTTTCCTCGCGGACGGCAAAAAAAGTCAGACATTATACAATTTAAAATAAAAACAATAATCGTGGCTTGATATTGAGTAAGAACATGTTTTTATGAACCACACAGCTTCTGGTCTTCCAAGACCCGACCGGACAAAAAGACGTGTTGCAGGCACGAAACATACTACCAATAGAAATACATTGCTTTTAAAATCGTTCTGTGTGACACGAAAAAAAGGGGGAAATCGTGTTGGTGAACACAACAATAAATGTATTTCGTGACTATTACACGAAATGCCTTGAGACTGGGTTGTGTATATAGTCTCTTAAAGAGACAGTTAGGACTCAGAGAAAACTGTACATGTGTTATGTTGCCTAGTTCAACCCCTTTTCCTTGCTAACACTTTCTCTCACAAAAAAAGCCCAGCTGGAATGTTGAAGCTAATAGTACATTTGTCAGTATCATTTTATCGTGTGAAATAATTGATGATGCCTGAACTGTACCATTTGCAGCTGCCAGTGAGCAAAGTTATGTCGTGCAACTGTAATACCAAACATGAAAAAATCTCAACCTCGCCCAGAGACCTGCTGGTTTTGATTTTGCCCATCTAGTCAGGGACGGATTTTCAACAAGAACATGCAATTTAATAGCTGGTAGGTTCGTGCTGCACCAGGATGAAGAACCAACATCACACAGATCTTCATGAAAGTAGCAAAGCCCTCCGGCCAAGCCAGTTTGCAAACTGATTGTGCGCATAAAAGTCTGTCAAACTTGAATTCCTCTGACAACTTAAGCTAAGGTTGTATGCAGCTCTTGCCTTGAGCATCTGTCTCTGAGGCCAAGTGTGCATTAGCATGAATCCAAAATGCATAATGTGAGAGTTAGTCATCGTTAGATGTTCAACACATTTCCCAAACCACACAATTCTTACCAAGTTCATGGGCGGTTGTGAAGGCGGAGGGCAAGCCATCATCTTCGATGACAGAGCAGCTTCTCTTCGGGTCACACATGGTCCCAACATCAGCCATCCCCAATGTATCACAGGTTGTGGCCCCGCAGAGATCCTGGTGACACAGAAACATAAATGTTCATTGGGACACGCCTTTCATTTCATTCTCATAAAAAAGTTGGACTAGGACAGTGTTCTTCTTGGTGAGGCTGTGCCTTGAGCTACAGATTGAACAGACCATGAAGAGCACTAATACAAAGCACATGGGACTGTGGTTTGTTTATTGTTGCTCTGTTCTTCAAATATATTGAAGCAAAAGGTCAGGGGAGATTGCCCACTGCATATTTCCTCTTAGTGTTTAGGTAAAGAGAGTTTGGGAGCACGAGATAGGTCCCACCTGCGGTACACAGCCCAGGGGAAGTAAAATAACCATATCAACACGGTCATTATGTGTTTATCTGCAATTCTCTCAGTATCACGACTTATCTATTTACTGTACCTCCATTTGTACTTGGCTGTACTTAGCTGGGTAAGTCAACAACACAACTGTCCCCCATTCCGTTCTGATCATTGGATTCTTTTTGAATATATAACATTGTCAGGTAGTAAGACCATAACTTATAGGGCTGGAAGGAAATAATTAAACAGCTTTGAAACATACTGTATCTCGGAAAATGTATACAGACATTCATGATCACCAGAGGATGTTGTTGATCCGCCAACTTTTATTTTGGCACTACAATGATGTTAAAGGACATATTGTGCTAATTTGTTTCAGGTTAATATTTGTATTTTGTGTTTTTACTGTCTTTAATGTTAGAAAAGTTATTTTTGTTCTCATACTGCCTGTGCTGCAGCACCTCTGTCTGAAACCTGATTGGTTAGCTGGCCGGCTCTGTTGTGATTAGTCTACTGTTTAGAGATGTATTGGAGATGTCCCGCCCCTTAGCCTATCAAGTTCAATCTGTTGGAGCGCTAGCCAATAGAGGCGCGAGTGTCACACCATGATGTCATCATGTGACAGAAGTAAACAAAGGAGTACAATGGAGGTGATTCAAGCAGGGCAGTGTGTGAGAGAGAAACTCCCTCTAAAGGGAACTTTGGGATTTTAGCCTTTGCAGACCATTTACATGCACAAAAACCTACATAACACACTATAGGAAAGGGGAAACACCAAAAAGCATAATAGAGACTCTTTAAAGGTCCCATGTCATGCTTTTCCGGTTATTACCCGTCCCCTTGTGTGTTATGAAGGTTTTTCTGCATGTAAACGGTCTGCAAAGTCACAAACCCTCAAAGTACTCCCTGTAGCGAGTAAAACTCTAACACAGAAAAGACCTGTCTATGCTGCCCCAGAACGCCTCGTTGGAGATTTCTCTTTTTTTCTTCCTGGGTTCTGTGACGTGTGAATACCCAAATCAACAACACATGACCGGATTGGCCCAAATGGACCAATCCACAGAGCACCTCACACACCAGGATCCCTTGGCTAACTAACAGGGAGTCCCCATTGACTTGCATAGAGCTCCCTGAACGCTGGTAATAGACAAGTTGGGATCGCGGAGAAATGCTCTCCGCAGACCCATTCTCACAGCGTTATAAACCTTTTTCTAACTCAATATTAAGCCACACTTATTGTTTTTACTTCGGCTGTGAGTGTGTGTGTGTGTTCAGGATGAGTTTCGCTTGTTCTCGCTGTATCGCCGACCCGGAAACCTGTCCGCTCCTCGCAGCAACGAGCCTCGCAACGTCCCGACCAATCAGAGCACACTGGGCTCACAGGGAGGGAGGGGGGGGGGGGGGGGGGGGGCAGGAGCTCCAACAAGCCGTTTAGGACAGAGAGTGAATACACATACTATACAGAGATGCTGTATGAGAAACCAATGTGATTTTGGAAAATTGCACATTTTAAATCTATTCTAGTAGACCTCAACAATGGAAATATGATCAGTAGAAATGGCCATGACATGGGACCTTTAATATATTTTTTGTTAGTATTGAAATTACTCACTATCGGTCCAAAGTGGACGATAAACTTGTTAACCCAGTGTTTCGATGAGGCCCAGCGATGCCAGAAGCCCCCTCTGCCAGCCATGTGTATTCCACACCACCAGCTCTCCATAACCTATTACAAGATTTTTTCCATCTCTGCAGCTGCACTCATTGTGCCCAACAAGGACAACACCGCCGGACTTTCCTACATATAATTACCCTTAGTGTAAATAAAGGGATCTTTCCCGAGTAGACTGTGATTTTTTAAGTCGTTTTGACCTTGAAATGTTTTTGTATGTTGCTGTGCAGTGAAGGAGAGAGGCCGTGTATCAGATGGCCAAACTGGACCCTAATGGAAAGCAGGCACCATGAAACAGGCATCAGTGAAGTTGGTGTAGGATGTACTGAACAATGGTTACAGCTCTAGTGGCCACATGGGATTATCTGACAGCTGTGACCACACTGAATGTCGTAGATAGTGTCAGTTACCACCAGCTTGAATGAATAAAGAAGGAGTTTGGATTCTTATGATTCATATTGAAGGTTCCTATATGCAGATAATGACCCAGTTCTTATTCTGCAGCTGCAGACAGAGGTGAATACTTTGTATGGAAACAACTGGCTCTGTTGCTCTTTTACAGTGACTCATTGAAATACAGAAAGAGGACTAGCAGGGCTTCATCATCACATAAAGGATGCATAACCCTACAGGGCACAGACCTGTATGAAAGTCTTGCAAGTCAATCAAATGACTGCAAACATGCCTGTGTTGTGTCCCTGAGTGTTAGAGTTTGGTTCATCTGCAGAATATGACTGGAAGAGTAGTCATTTTGTCTCCTATTACTTGCATATTAGTCTTGCAACATTCTCTTGCACTATTTGTATTGTTTTTTGTATTTGCTTTATTGTTTCATGTCTTATATATATTTATGTTGCATTGTTGGAGGGTGGTAAGATTTTCATTGCCGTAACTACACTCTAGCTACTGTGCATGACAATAAAGCCTTTGAATCTTGAATCTACAGTCTGTTTTTTTTTCTCATTTGTAGAAGAGACAGGGGCCCTTAAATATTTGTGACCTGGGGCCCATTGTTTTATAATCCACCTATGAGTGTATCATTTATAATTATTTATTTCCCTGCTGATGCATCACATCTGTGTTTGACTAAGCTCCCTCCTCCCCTGCTTACCTGTTTGGTGAACAGTATGGCAGTGTCCCAGTACTCTGGCTGCTTGTCATTGTGTTTATTCAATTTCTTCTGCCAGGAACAAAAGTTGCGCAGAGTCAGGGCTGCATTACTGGAAACCTTTGGTCCCTTGTCAGCTTCACTTATCACCATGAATCCCACCACCACTATGTTTATGGAGTTGAGGATGCTGGGGTGCTTGTAAAGCCTGGCTGCCACTGACATCAGGGTCAGGAGGTAATGCTTTAGGTCATCCCCGTGAAATGTTGCCATAGATTCATCCGCCACCACCAGCACCTCCACAAACCTTGGGATGGAGGCAAATCTCTTGGACCTCCCCAAGGTTTTCAACACAGTTTTGGTTAAGCCATCAAACTCCAGTTGGCCCAAGTGCTTGTATTTCTCCAGGGAAATGTTGAAGTTGGAGTCAGGTGTAACTCCACACCTGCTGGTGAAGTTAGTACCCGAGTGCGCAGCGCGTCTCCGGCGGCGGATGATGTGCGTCCTGTCGAAAGAGTTTCCAAATCCAGACGCAGCGTCTTCACTGCCAGTCAGGCTGATGAAATACTCCATACCGTTATAAGAAAACCCCCCATGGAGACCTTTACACAGGCTGAGCGCGGCGAATGAGTCCGGTTCCGCGTTGACATTCCCGGAGTAGAAGCATTCCCGTAGGTCAGAGGTTTCGTTGGATGCTGAGGAGCTGCTCTCAAGTGGCAAGCTGCCCGGTGCAAGGAAACTAGAGTCCGGCGTGAGTTGGAGGTACAATTCCTGTTTGAATGCACTTAGTCTGAAAACGATCTGTCTTTCCTCAATCTCCTCCGCGCGCCGGTGCAGATGCTTCTCGTGCCTTTGGTGATCCACACGCACAGGGATGCAAAAATCTACCTCCATGCAATATGCTGGGTTCAAATAAAGCAGGAACTGTGTTAATATAATCAATGAACTGATGAGTATAGCCATCTTGCTCAAGAAAGTCCACTCTATTTCAGCTTCGGTGCAGCAAAAGTTATGCGTAATGGCACGGAGCGCAGCTTGCGTCTGCACTGACTTCCAGCTTCTCTCCCATCTTGCACCGTTTCCACTCTGGCCACCAACTTGTCTGCACGGCTGATCTTTAAACTCGCACATACAGTATAACACCGATGATGTCTGTCAAAAGAAATCTGGGTTCGTGCGCAAGAGAGAGAGAGAGCTCATTGGTCATGCGTCTCGGTTTGAGCTGCAGACCGCAGCCACTTGTAACTCTCCAAATATTATTGTTGCTGTACGGCATGTGTGACAGGAGCAATAGAGCATCATTCCCCTCCCATTGCCAGACTCGTGAGGAAGACAGACAGTGAGCAAACACACAAGGAACAAAACCCAAAATACAAGAGTTTAAGTTTTTTAAACGTGCATTTCAAACTAATCCACCTGCATCAGAACTTTACACAATCTAAAAATAAATCATAAAATGTACTTTCCACTTGTTTTTTTTCTTTCCAGAAAATGTATTTTTAGACGTAAATATTTGAATTGGTCAAATAAAAAATAAAAACATAAAAGGAGTATCCACTCGCATGCACAGACACACATACATTTTGTTCTGCATATCCTTATGCGTAAGAACAAAGTTTAAAGGCACATGCAAAGTGGAGTGCAGGCAAAGAGCGACACCTGTCTGCAGCACCTAATGTTCACTGCAGCTTCAGTTCCTCTGAGCGCCTGAACAGGTGTGTTGTACTCTGGCTCCACCTGGGGGTTAATGTGTGAAAATGCACCTCCAGAACCATTGTTATTGTTTAAAGAGATGGCACTCTCCTTACACACAGTATCAATTAAGTGATGTACATGGTTCCAGGAAGAACACATTTGTATTATCGTAATACAGCAGTAGCCCTTTAGAAAAACCTTATTTAGCATCATGAAGAAAAAAAAGGAAAATCTGCAGTAATAAATCAAATATAATTTCACTTAAAAAAAAAATCGATTTGTTTCAGAAATTGCTCCGTGTTCTTGCACCTATATACTTTTAAGAATAGCTTGTCTATGATTTTTTTTGTATGTTTGTATAACTCTATGTTTTTCTTTTGGTTTTGGTTGGCTTTTAGTTCCTTTAATTGTCCTCGTGATTAAATTGTGTTCGTTTTTTTAAATTGTAAAACAACTGTGTTTTGAAAAGTGCTATATAACACATCATTATTTTTATTTTTATTATAATTACTATGATTATTATTATCATTTAACTTTTTCTATGGGTTATGGTATATGAAAACATAACTAAATAATAATATTCTTTGTAACTGTATTTTTATAATAAGGTTTATATTATTATTATTATTATTATTATTATTATTATTATTATTATTATTATTATTATTATTATTATTATTATTATATTTCAAACATATGTACTTTTTTGGGGGGTTATGGTTAATCAAAGAATAATAACATCATATATCCTTCCTTTAGCTTTACCAATGTGTTTAAACATTTCCCAGGGTTCAAGGTGGCGGTCAGTTCCATGCAAACTCAGTGCCTTTCTCTGTCCAGCGGTGCTCCTTTGTGCAGGGATAAAGCAGACCGGCCTTGGGGGGCTCCGGGCTCTGTCGGGGCCTGCCACTCACACAAGGCTCCGAAATAACCCAAGCAGCGGACTTCCAGCTATGCGTAGTATAGATGTCCTGCCGCTGCCATATAGCACGCTGGGTTAATAATAGGAGCATGGTTGTCAAGCTATTTCAGAAGGGGGGAGTGTCGGCCTATTCTCATTGGATCCGTTTTATCCGCGAGTATCTCATGAAGTGCGAGTGGGAGGAGAATTTCCAGCAACCGAGGATATCAAAAATAAACCCCCTCATGTCCAGGGAAGAGCAGAAAGTATAAATACCCCCGATGTGTCCAGACTGCAGCGGTGCTGGTGAGTGGCACAACAAGACTTAGCTTGCTTGGTGAATTAGAAACGACAACTCAGACAGACTGAAATTAAATAGTTTGACCAAGATTGGCTTTACAGCGCTGGACAATCTATTTTATTTTGAAAAGATTCCCAACCTGGATTGGAGAAGACGCGCCACTTACCAGAGATCAAGGACATTAATTATAATAAAGTCTTTATTTTTTACCACTCGTCAGTGTAATTTCCATTGCAGAAGATGTGTTCCACTGTGTGTTTGATGTTTTTACTCCTGGGCGTAATGAACGCTGCACTTTCAACTCCTTTTGAATCAGAGGATATTGTACCTGTCCGGATAAATGGAAGAATCAGTGGTCGCTTTTGGAAAAGGAGTGAGGAGCAGCCGAGGTTTATCCTCAGTGCATTTGGCAAGGATTTGACACTTAATCTTATTCCAGATACCAGCTTTATCGCGCCTTCGTTCACCATACAGCGCATCAAAGCCAGAGATGTTGGCGCTTTACGCAGCGCTTCAGGTGCCCAGCCTGTCGCAGATCTCCACAAATACATGAACCAGACAGAGGAGAGTGAAGGACATCTTAGGAGCTGTTTTTACTCGGGGAATGTAGACCACGATGAGAGCTCGGTGGTGGCTGTCAGTTTGTGCGCCGGCATCTTTGGCTCCTTTATAACGGAGGGGAAAGAGTATTTAATTGAGCCCAAACTCCGCGGCGGCCTGGGGCCAGACGCTGCCGAGCATCTGCATGTCATCAAGAGGAGGACATTCACAAACAGCCACGGTGTTCCCCTCCTGTTTGATCACGCGGCGGCAGCGGCGGCGGAGCACAACGGGGAAAGGAGGGAACCTCGCCGGAGACGCTTTGTTTCCGCACCACGGTTCATAGAGACCCTGGTTGTGGCAGACTCAACTATGACCCAATTCTTCGGAGATGAAATAAAGGTCAGACACGATCAACTTTTTTCCCTGCACACATTGTTGATAGGAACCCAAACAATCGTTAGATCTGTCACATAAACAAACGTTCCATCATCCTCCTTGCAAGTATTCAAAGCCAACATATACAGTGCAGGAATCGGATTTGATGTGCCTCTTTATGAAACACATGTTGGCATTGAGGGGGCTTGGGAGGAAATCGATGGGCTCCCTGATTTCAACAGGCTGAGAAAGAGGTCAGGCTAAAAAAATGCAAACAATGCTGAAGCACATTCCTGAGAACTTGGTCACGATTTGGCAGCAGAGCCTCAGCGTCATGAAGTGAATATTCACAAGGCTTACAATATCTAATAGAATTTGGATTAACTCCTTTTCATGACTTTGTTTAATTTATCCAAATCATCCAATATTTAAATTGAACAAATAAATATGATGGATAGTGATAGAATACAAAAACAATCCTGAAATTATCCTCCATCCATAATATCAGTCCTCTTTCAATCCAGAGCTTAACTCTAGATTTATTTGAACAAAAGTAGAACAATCTGTGATCCTGCCACAGTCTGGAGTCTGTTTGTACTTAGCAAACTCCTCAGCTGCCAGACCCTCTGCCTCATCCCAAAATAAGTTATCTAAGTGAGTATCTAAAGTATCTAGCTAGAAAACAGGTTCAGGTGGACAAAGGTTAGACGGACAAGTTGAATTTCAATTAGCAAATTACAAAACAGACTCGCTCAAATGTCATTACCTTTTGTTTTTGTTTGAGCAGGGGTGTTTTAGTGATTAGAGTTCCCAGGCAAAAATCAACATCATGTGGCTCGTGTAGCACATGTGGAAAAACCTTTCATGCGGAAACGTCATCATACCCTAGGAAGAGAAGAGTGAGTGCAGCTAGGCTGATGGAAGACGTTGCGATACATCATGGCACAGTCTCCCACATTGTGATTTACCAGCTCTCCACTAAAACAACTCTGACAGCTCTGTGGAAAACCCAGCCTGTCAGGAAGGCCCAAGACCCAATCCTAGTGAAGTGCACAACAAATGTGGAGGCAGAGCTTACAGATAATACAGCCAAAAAGTTACGTTACTGAATTCTTTACAGAAAAAGACAAGTTGGCCTAAATCTTGCATCTGTTTTCCTCAAACTGTTGCAAGGCTAAGTGACATGACTCGAGTGTGTCTAAAAATGTCTGGCAATTTTAAAGCTTAAATGCAATAGGCTACTTGTGAAGTTAGCAGGATAAATGCATGTGTCAGAGTAGGAGCAGTATACCGTACGGTATATATACACATACATATCATGAGAGTCATAGTGAAAAAACTAATCATATACATGGAGATTGTTTATTTGCATTTATTGTTTTGTCTTAAAGTTAAAAATTAGACGTGAAAATGTCTCCCTTGCATTAGGGTTAGAGTTAGGGTCATTTATGATAAGAGGTGCTGTTCACTTGTGCCAGACAATTCTTTGATTACCAATTTCAAGTCTCTTAAGAAACACAAAATGTTTGTCAAAGCAATTATCCTCAGGATATTAGTCGAACACGTCACTATCTACTGCCAAATGTGTTAACACAATGGTGATTGAGCATACGGCCCACTAATGAAAGACAAGCATTTGTATTATTATGAACTGAGCCATGCTCTGTGGGAAGTGCTCTGACCAAACACTCAGATTATAAGTCTATTTGGAAACAAATAATGACTAATGATATATTATAACGTTTTGTTGCCCAAATATCATCATCTTACGACAGAAAACTTTAAATTGTTTGGGCTTTAGTCTGTTCAAGCAGAGATACAGACATAATATTATGCAAAATTGATAGAAGCAGTGCTTGACCTTCATCCGTTTGGTTCTTTAATTAAACATGGATGTGAACACTGTTTAAAAGCCTTGAGCAATGAAGTTCATGTTCATGGAAGTTAAACTCTTTAAATGTTGTGTCCTGTCTCTCCCCTCTCGCAGCACTACATTCTAACCCTGATGTCAATGGCTGCCCAGCTTTACAAGCACCCCAGCATAAAGAACTCGGTCAACATAGTGGTGGTTAAGATGTTGGTGGTGGAGGAAGAGGAGGTCGGCCCGGAGGTCTCCAGCAACGGGGGGGTTGCTCTGAGGAACTTCTGCTCCTGGCAGCAGCTCTTCAACCCGCCGAGCCAGAGGCATCCAGAGCACTATGACACTGCCATGCTCTTCACCAGAGAGGTGAGGGACAATGACAACGCTGCTTTAGCTTCTTCT